ATTAGGGTGTATGAGAGGTTATAAATCTAATTAATCTCTACTTAAAAAAAGAATTGTGATATTTCTTGAATTTTTGAAAATTTGAAGGTTTAAAGGGATTTTAATAAATAAATATTTTTTTTCTTTGGATATTTACAAACCAAAAATTACCTTTATTTCGCTCAAGCGGTATGCCTGCTCGAACATGTATTGATCGATTTTTTAATCGAAATAGATTTTATTTTTTGTATTTTTGGATCGATCGTTATCATTTTTGATATCTTGGACAAATTTTTAGTTGGTTCTAAGACCAAAACACTCACATGGTAATATCATGAATACTTCAACACATAGTAATTAGGAGCGAAGATTAATACTCGCAACCCTATGCTTCCATTTTGTAGTTGTGTGATACATATCAACTACTAATATTCAATGCCTTTTTTTTTCTAATCCCTCAATCTCCCCTTCTATAAGTAATATAAACAAATTTATTGTTAATTGTTGCTTAATGATAACTTAAACATCTCAAGACTCCTAATTCATTCATGAAAAACAACTTTTACAATTTACATCCATCACATTCCCAACAAACTATCTTCAATCATGGAGAACTTCTCATTTAATATAAGACTCACATTATCATGTGAGTAACTAAGAAAAAAAAATTTAGTGCATAATATTTTGACTATATTGAAGCATTGTCTATGGCTATATACGGATAAAGATGCAAATATCAATCTCAAAATATCCAAATTGAAAAGTTCTCCTCCAGTCATTTCAAGAGTTTTCAAGCCCCACGAAAACATGGAACAAACAGAACTTTAATTAAGGGTCCGTTTGGTTTTCTCACGGCGCGCTGAGCGGCCACGAATCTCGGCCTTTGGTTCGGCATCCTGAGCGCGGCGGGAATCCGTTTTGGCCGAATCCCTTGCAAATGGCAATGCGGTCGTGGTTTTTGACGAGCTCGTGGCAGCCATCACGCTGCTGATGAGCTAGCAGATGATGCTCAATTAGGAGCAGCTTCTCGACGTATTCAGATCATTTGATCGCAACAGAAATGGGTACATATCGGCGGCAGAGCTTGCTAGCTCCATGGCTAGGATGGGTTATTAGCTTCAGCAGGTTGATATTGGTTGGTTGATCTGCCTGCATTATTAATTGGTTAATGATGTATATATTTTAGCAATGGTGACTTAAACTGGGTAACTAAAATCTGACAGTTTTAGATCTATTCTGTAAATTGTGTTTGTGTGTTGAACGGAAGTAATGGGATTTGTAATTATATATATATATATATATTTCTTTTGAAGTCTTTCGCTTTGCTTGGTATTTGGGTATTTGACTTTGTTCTAGTCAAAGAGTAGTCTCTTCTATAATTGTTACATGACATTATTCCTGTAGCTTTTATTATGTGTGTGTGTTAATTTACTTCCATGAAAAGCTATATTTCACTTCTAATCAAAAGTTAAAATAGTTATATTATTTGTGATATAGATGATTACTCACTTTCTCCACGCCTTTTTCTTCGCACTCTCTTGCCTTCTCTCCCTCCTATCATTCATTAAAAAGTCGTTTGGCTATATATGTTAAAAAATCAAGACTAATCAGAAATTTTGTACTGTTCTGAAGTGAATTGCTGTTTTTGAAGTATAAAATATATGACCGTCACAGTTTTGTTACAAACAGCATTACTAAACATGAACAGAATGGTCATTTGTTCAGAAGCAACTGCCACAGTTGTTCTCAAACAATTGCAACAAACAACCAGTCAGCTTCAACTGAAAAGTTGTAGCTGTCCCAAAAAGACCCTAAGTTATTCCCTCCACAAACTCATTTACATTCAATTAGTGCCTCAAATAACAAAATATAATAATCAATTTATTAAAATCACTCGTCTTCGCAAACTTGATGAAATAAATCTGAACCTATCATCATAATATCCAAGAATGAAATGTGAACTGCAGATGCCTGTGGTGCTGAAGCTGATGGTGAACTATATAAGATATGCTTTTTCAGAATCAAATAAGGCAAATACAAACAATCTAAGCTAAAAAATAAGCAATGCCTGAAATAATCTAAAACAATTTGAAAGGAGTTGTAATATGAATCAAAGTTAAGGCTGTTAACGATGCGATTTAGAACCGAGTCGGGTATGGCTTGAATAGATTTATTGTGGCTCGGAATCAACTCGTGGCTCATTATATTTGATTTTGAGTCGAGCCGGCTCAAAATTGCTCAAAATCCAAATGGGTTGGCTCAAATTGAGTTATTCATATCCGCTTCAGCTCAAAATCAATTCGACCCGGCTCAAAATTGAAACCAACTACCTGACATTGAGAAATTTAGATATGTTCCAGCTCAAAATTGTTCATGACTCATTTTATTCAATTTTACTTGGCTTCATATATATAATTATTATAAATAAAAAATACTACAAGCCTATCTAGAGTTAGTTCTTCTCGATCTATGTTCAACTCGAAATTGGCTAAAAAAAAAAATTGATACAAAGTTTTGGCTCATAGCTCGGCCTGTTTATTTCAATCCGACCTCAATCCAAGACAAAATCCGAATCAATTTTCGACATCTTCGAGCTAAATTCAGAGCCCCAATCGAAGTATTCAATTTACCTCATTTGGATAGATTTCCCATTTAGAGGCTGTTGCTAGACATTAAAAAAATAATAACAATAAAATAACTTTTTTCAATTGTCAGTTTTGCCTTGCCTTCAATCTTGAAAGAATTTAGTAAATTTACAGAATTTACTAAATCTTTTGCTGACTTCAGCACCTGAATTCCATGCAATATGACTATAGAGAAGGTAGCAATGTAGGTGCAGGATTTGGTGGCTCACATGAGCATATATGTATGAGTGCGGGCTCAATACCGAAGCCCACCACATATTCCCAAAAACTTTTTAATAATTTAGATTGCACCACATAAACCACACCGAGAACTTTTCAATCCAAGCACAAAAGATTGTGTCAGAAACTCCATACTTGTCTCCAATTCCAATATTAATGTACTCAACACTCTCCCCAACTTAAATATCATCATCCTCTTCTTACTCTTTATCGTAAATCCAAACTTGCTCATGAGTAATAGCAATTAACTAAATTTCAGAGCTTGGTATCTCAGTTCCTATGAGAATATGCACACATGAAATTTTTATCAATTTATTATTAGTTTCTTTGCTCACCCAAAAATTTGTGGAGGGATTACTGTTGTGTATGTGGGGATCAAAACCTAAAACCTTGACAGCAGTTTCAAAAACTCTTACCAAACAGGCTATTTGTTGGTGCCCTCAAGGAATATTTATCAGATTAATTTATGAGACATACTGATGAACTGAGTAGCATTATTGCAGCCTATGGGTTGCGTCATTGCATGTGGTACTCAGAAGTATGCATGTGAAATAATGATGTTGCCATGGGCTTTTAAACCAACTAAAGAGCAAGGCATGATTTGGACTGCACCTGCCCGTATTTTTTAGCAACATGAATGGAATTTTGTGTTCAAAGAAGGTTAGAAGATAAATATAAACTCTATTAAATATTTTTAAATAAAAAGAGGAAGTTTGATAACTCGGATGGATTTTATGTAAAAGAAATTGCATGAATTAATTTTAATATTTCGTGCAGAAACATTCAATATGATGAATGAAGAATGATGAAGCCAAGCAGAAAATTTTATAATAAAGCGAGTAAAGATGATGACAAATGAATTTGTGCATTATTGAATATGGATTAGGAAAGAAAAATAATTTGAAAGAAATTATTTTTGTGGCTTTTCTGGCTTGGGAAAGTTGACTTAGTTGTTAATATAATAATTGAATTAAATAAGCACCTTTGGCTGAAAGCAGTCAGATAAGCAGAACTATATATCTATTGTCTTGCTGATATTGGTGATTTAATTAACAATCTTTTTAAACTAAACATGGTAAATAATTGGCAGCATGTGACTAACTGGAGAAGAAAATCAAAGCGAGCTGTAGGACCAACATGAGAGCTGCAGAAAAAAAAGACTTAATGGTGAACCAAACATGATAAAGTCTCTTACTTTGTTTTTAAGAAAAGTGAACAGAAAAGTTGGGTTGCAGATACCACCGAGAACCAAAAGCAGCAGTTCAAACATCCAGCCCCACCAAATCCGAAAATAAGGGGATGTTTGGGATTACTATTGTTCTTTATTTTCTATTTTTTATTTGTATTTTTGCTTTGTTTATTCTTTGATTTAGAACAAAACATGTTTGACATATTTGATTAAGATATGATTGTTTTTAAAAATACTCAAAACACCTTAAAAATGTATTGAGTCTTTAAGAAAACATGTTAATTTCTTTTCAGAAAAAACAAATAAAAAATAAAAAACAAACTAAACAAACAATTTTTAAACGCACAGGAAAAAGTTATAAAAAAAAAAAAAAATGATCCCAAACAAGCCCTAAATCTCAATACAATCTCAATACGACCACAAAAAGCAACAGTACTTACCTCAAAGTGTGTCTCTTCATCCCTCCAACTTCAACAGGCGAATAAGAAAATCCTGGTTCCAAGCTACAGCGGCCTTTTCTTTTTCCTAAGCCACACTGAGATTTACTTATTCACATGGTTAGCTAACATTTCATTCATATGATTATAAGCAAACCAATCACAACAGAGCAAATAGTTCACATCTATTGGAAGACTTAAAAATTTTATTTTTGTAACAAACAGCACAGCACAGTGAACAAAATAAGAGCATAACTCTCGATTACATTTTACCGTTCATCAATAACACAAGGAGAAAAATGTCAAAATGATTGACTCTTTGCAAGGAGCCATTTTACTCGAGTTTATAAAAGAGCTAATTTAGTTCCCAGACTCTTTTAATGGGGGTAGAATAGACCGTTATAAGAGCTATTTCTGCCCATATTAAAAGAATATGGGGACTAATCAACACTTTTATATACTATGGTAATAAATAGTCAAGAGACTATTTTGAAACTATACTCAAACCGCAAGCATCAGATCAGTCGGCTGAAGAAATTAAAAAACCTTTGAAAACAGCCCTAGTGAACATGATGATTCTTCACGAACTCAAATTCAGATATAAGACAGCATAAACGACCATGCATAACACTTATGTGTATGCAAGAATATTAATATACATTGAGACCAGATACTCCAAATTTACATGCTATGATCCCCTCATTTGTGTCCAAGCTCATAATACATGAAGTTCCAAAACAAATAGAGTCATCATGAAGAAGGTTGAACAAAAAAGCATTAAAACTGATCTACATACTGCTGAAGCGTTTTTGGTTATTTGTTATTGTAGACATGGAGTTCAGATGTCAAAGTTAAATATCAAGAATCTGAAAGCGCTAGCCTTGGAGAAGATGATTCACCGAGAGATACAGAAGCAAGAGAAGATGCCCATACCCGAGCACTCTTCGCTCCTTTATGAAAATTTCCCGTTTTGCTCGAGAGATTGAGTTTCCTCAATATCTTCTTCGCATCAATTACTTGTAGAACACGCCCCAGAAGCTGATTCAATCCACTAATGATGCCCAAATTCGCATGGAGGCGGGTGTACAGAGCCCACGAAGATTTGATTTGGGAGATAAGCTTGGGGAAGAAATAAGTGAATGCCCTCAGGATGACAAAAAGTAGAGAAAATGCTAGATAAGGTTCACTGTTTAGGAATTCCTTAGTTGTTCCCATCCATGGTTGGAGAGCACCAGTATTTTCCTTGGCCTGGTCCATAGAAAAATATGCAACAGGTTCTTCACCTGTGAAAAAGCAGCAAAATCAAATCAATGAGAAGCCAAATTTATAAAAGGAGTGATCCGAAGATCCATAGAGTCCCGGTATTTTAAAATGTGCTATATTAAGGTTGGAACCTATAGGAAATAACAGCTGAATGACAGAGCAAAAAAACAGTACAACTCCTGGTTGTGTCAGGTTCATCATAGTTTGATGTAAAAAATCGTCTAGAAATATTAAAATTAACGAGAAAAAAGGTTGTATCTCAAGTATGTAAACAGCATGAGATTACAGATCCTCTTACAATTATATGTACTCCCTGATAATAAGATCAGAAACACAGCACTGTGCCTAAAAATTTAGAAATAGATGAGAAATTTAAGATTTTTTAAAATAAACTCACCTGTAATTTCTCGGTAGAAATTTACCAAGGAATCAAGATCTTTCAATCCATGATACCTTATCTTTCCTCTTCTGCTGGCCAACACAAAGGCGGGAAAACTGTGGATCCCATATCTTGAGAAAAGGCTGAAAAAGAGCCAACAATGAAAGATAAAACTTTGTAAATATGAAATATTTGTCGATGAAGGAAAGGAAATACATTATTCACAAGAAATGAAGCAAACATCACTTGTCCTAACGATACCTGGGCATTGCAGAATATTGTTCAAGTGCTAAATGCGTAATTTGAGGAAACATGGAGCTGAGCGTATCAAATGTGGATCTAAAATTTTGAGAGAATGGACACCGAGATGCATAGAAAAAAACTGAATAATAGGCTCCATTCGGAGCATGAGCCAACACTTTATCAAGAATGTCACCGTTAACCTGCCAAATTGAGGTGTAAAACATGCTCAAAAGACAGCTTTCCTCAATATGAACATGTAGCAATACGTTTTTCTTTAGTTCATTGCGTGCTAAATTTTAGGGCAGGCTAATTTTAACTAGACAAAAACTTCCGCATAAAGAAGGTAACCATTATGAATCATGAAATAATAATTTATTACATAGAGCATGCAAAACTTTCAATAAGCACTACATACAGAATTAAATATTCACATGTGCATGTCAAATTACAAAATTTCTCACAAAGAAAAAAAAAATCATCAATTAATTATTAAATAGCTTTTAAAAAAGGCAAAACAGCTAAATCATGGCATAGGTTACGATATATTTTAGAAAATAGGGTTTAAGAGTACTTTTTTCTTTTTAACTGCTTCTTCCATCAATATATTTATACTCTTAATCTACCTCAAGCCATCATTTCAGAAATTATAATACAACTAAACAAATAGAATGGCGATTCAAGAAAAATCAGATCAAGGGTCTGAACTCAACGGAGATCTTGAATCACATGGGAACCTAATAATTCATATGAGAATCCACAAATGAAATGAGAAAAAAAAATCTAAAACTTATAGCAAAGTTTACACTGCATGGAAATCAAGCCGTTTGAATCAAATAGATGCTTGAGATAAAAAAAGCTCTAATGACAATAGTACGAATATGTAATTTTTTTAAACGATAAGTGAAAACTCTCAAGAAAAAACAGCCCTCCTCACGCAAGTAAGTGTTATCTTGAGGTCAATCTAATGTGAAATATATCATTGCAAAATGATCACAAAAGCACTATAATGAGGTGTTTAGTCTGAAGTTTTACCACAAAAATCCTTATTTTATCCTATGATTTCCTATATCAGTTTTCTTCCAAAAGAAATGTATGAAGATTTTGCTTCAATATCTAAATTATCACATCAACAATTTAATTTATGAGCATTCTTACTGCTATATTTATTCTTCTTATGTTTACATATTACTATATTAGTGTGTACATGCTTGCACTAGAAAGGAAATTTAAGATGAAGCAATTTTCAATTTTCACTTCTGGTAGCTATAGTGACTAATCAAGTAAAAAAGTTTTGTTACAAAATAAGGAAGAAAAAGATAAGTTAGCAACAAGAGTCAAATTTGCTCAATTAATTACTGAGATATTCTCAATTTATGAGATGACACACATAGCAATCAAGGTCATTTTGAGGAATAAGACCTAAATTCAAAAATTAGGTAAAGGAATAAGTGTTATATAAACTTCAAAATATGAAATCAGACATACTGTATTAACATTCTAATACCTTAACACATTAAAAAGTACCATATCAACATTTTAACGAAGTAAAAGATTCACAAATTGCGCAAAGTAAAAAGAAAAAAACACGTTAGCATACTAACATTAAATCATGAAATAAGATGTACTATACAAACATTAAAATACATAAGTTAAGATATCAAAATACATTATAATATAACAATCAAAATAGATTTACAATAAATCTTTCTCTACCCTTATACTATCCTCTACTTAAGTATGAATATAAAAAATCATCAATATTAGAATTATTAAATTAAAAAATCACTATTAATATCAGCAACAAAATGGTCCTTATTAAAATTATCAACAAAACAGTTGCTTTCTCTCAAGCCTTATCCTTAGTTGTATCTATATTTTCTTATTTCTCATCACCTTTAGGGTTTGTTTGGGGCAACTGCAGCTTATTGAATAATCTGCTGATAAGCTCATTAAAAGTAATCTGCTGATAAGCTAGGTGCAGTGGCTATTATAATTTTTTTTTTGGAAAAGCCAGAACGTAGCCAGAAAGCTGTCACCGCACCTAGGTGCAGTGTGAAAATGTTGTTTTCAGCGTTTTGAAAATGCATAAGCTGCCAAAATGCAGATTACCCAAACAGGTCTGATGTGTTTTCAAAACGCCACTGCACCAAATAAGCTGCCCCAAACGAGCCTTTAATCTCAATCAAATTCCTCTTTCGATATAAATAATAGTCAATAAAAATATTAATCAAATTTTAAAAGAATGGCTATTTTGATTGTTAGAATTTCAACTCCATAAATTTTAATATATACTTTTTCTTTTTATTTTATTTTTATTTAGTGTATGCGACTTGAGATTTGATAAGAGAGGTATATAAATATAATTCTTTAATTTTTGTAAAAAAATATAGATAGCCTCAACATATTTAGGTGAGACCTCATTATGATCTTCTATAAAAAAGATTGAGGAGGTGCATCTCATATGTGCAATTTCAAATTGGGGGTTAGCATGCAAATGCCAAGAAGCAAAGATAGAAGCAATTGGTCGAACCAGCACTAGTAGAGGAAAGGGATGTAAATAAGTCAAGCCAAGCTCGAGTCATATGAACTCGATCTCATCTTGTCTATCAAAAACTTTGTTTGAACTCAAGCTCAAATATGAGCTTGAACTTATTTAGTCCATTTATTCTCAAACTCGATCTCAAATTGAGAGGAATTCGCGACAGAAGTTCACCATAGAAAGTATTGACAAGACCTACAACTCAACAATAAGAGAAAGCATAACAGGAGCTCGTTGGAGAATGATCAATGAGACTTGAACAAAAAAGAGGAAGTTGCAGCAGAAGCTAGCTGGAAAAAAGATTAACAAGACGAGCAGCTAGAGTCAAAAGAAGAGGAAGTCGTGGCAAGAATTTGTTGGTGAGCAACTTCCTAGAGAGTTATGATAGCTAGGAAGTTAGGATTAGCCTAAAAAGAAGAAAAGGGGTATTCTGATTTAAATATTTATTCTAATTGAGCTGACTAGCAAGCCAAGGAGCCAAGCTAGCTACAGCTTGAGCTCAACCTCATATAATATGAACTATAATTTCAGCTCAAACTCAATCTCGCAAATTGATAAGTTCGAGTTGCGAGCTTTTTAGTGAATTGAGTTTGAGCCAGCTCGCACATACCTAATTAGAGGGAATTTCATATAACTTCATATGGCCTACAAAATTAGTGCTCCGTAACTTTTTTATAAGATTTGCTAAATTAACAAAATACTCTATTACACTTTGATGTGAGGTGTAAGAAGAAAAGGAAAGGAAGGATATTTTTTCATTTTGAAAGGGAGTATAAAAAAGAAAATAATTTATCTAATTCTTTATTAGGATTAGGAATTGAAAGAAAGACATGGAAACATGACATTATACAAAAATTAATATATATATATATATATATATATATATCATTGTAAGAAAATGTCTTTCTTTTTTTATTTTATTTTTTGCAATCTTCTCTTTTGAATTCTAACTCTAGATTAGAGTGTTAAAACTATTTATGTACTCTTTGCATGTACCCACCATTGCTTGGTATTCACATGTCAAATGAAACATTAAAAAAAAAGAAAAAGAATAATAATAATAATAATAATAATAATAAAAGAATAGTTGATGCAATAAAATTAGCCCCCAAAAAACCAATTTCCCATAAAACAAATAAGAGTTAAATTTGAATATAAAGTAATTAAAATGGACTAATTTTCAAGATTTTTTTTAAAACCAGGTTTAGTTATGGCCAAATTATATTATATTGTATCTTTAATTTATTTTAGTATGTCTATAGTTATCTTCTTTAGATAATATTAAGTTCAAATTTAAACGTTTAGTAGGATCAAATTTAATTATGGATAAGTAGACTAGAATTCAAAATATTATGTCTTATATTTGTAACCCAATTCTATAAATAGGGAACATGGCTTATATTTAAAAATTAATAAATGAAAGCAATTGTGATTCTATTTGAGTGATCTCTTTTGATCCAAATTGAGTATGCAAACTAACACGAGCGCAAGTATCTTGCACAACAGCGGGAGAGAGTCGGCTTTGGGGCTATTCGATTCAAAGTTCTTGAGAACTAGAAGACCCTTTTTTCCTTAGATTTGTCTCCAAATTAGAGTGGATCACACTCCTAATTGCTCTCTCATTATATATTTGTATTTTTTGCTTCTCTAGGATTAGTTTTTCATGTGTTTGTATCAGGATAGCCGCCAACATCTTTTCTTCCCTTCAAGAGATGTATCCTAGTATTCCAAATGGTGCGACGACTATATCATGACCTGTAGATGGTGTTTATCCTTCCCCCAACCACTCAGCACTGTCATAATCAACCTTCATTGCTGCAGCCTTCCAGACAGCTTCCCGTGGTTGTCTTCCCTATAGTTCTCCGCCTCAATGTATCCATCCTCCCTCTCACCATGTTGCCACCTCGCGCCCTCCCGCTTCTCACTTGTTGTCGCCATCCAGAACCATCACTCCTCCCATTCCCCTTGTTATCGACACCCCATATCGGCCGCACCCTTGCTACAGCTGATCCGGACCGGCCCCATCGTTGTTGCCATCATGTTGGACAGCCCTCCCGCATCGATCCCTGTTGCTTGCAGCCAGGACCATTGTAAACCACTGTCTTGCTATTTTCTGTTTGCTAACTGGCTCATCCAACCACTCTGCTACCTTCAAAGCCTTTGCCGACCACACCAACACCCATAAATCCTCCCCGCATACTCAAAATTTCAGTCAATGACAAACTCATTGTTGAATTTACATTTTATTCCATTCATCAACCACCTAATCTTGATCACCTTGCTCGTAATGCCACACTCTATGTATATAACTATTCTCGCAACTTGGGCCTCTCTCGATTATCACCCTAACAACTTTCAATAGCAAATCTTTTATTGCACCATACTCGGTACCATAGCCTTAAATAAGGACGAACATCATTTATGATTTCTAACATATCTCTTCACAACCATCTCCTCTCCACAACCCAATATATTAACATATATAAATCACAACATATTATAAAGATCATATTTATCTTTCCCTTAAAAACGTATGTGTCTGTGGAAGCCAATCTTATTATTATGAATGCAAAGATAAACTTCAATTGAAACTAATATACATAATTTCTACGAATGTGCATTGAAGCAAGTACATTTAATTCATATAAACATGTAAATAAT